CAAAATCATATAAAGGCATTATAAGAAAGGAAAACTACAGTCCAATATCTTCCACAAACATAGATGCAAAAATCCTGAGGAAAAGAAGAGCAATTTAAACCCAGCAACATATAAAGGATTATACACCATAACCAAGGGGTACTTATTCCAGATATGCAAGGATGGCTCAACACTAGAAAATCAATTCATATACTCCATCACATCAATGAGCTAAAAGAAAGTCACAAGATTATATCAGTAGATGCAAACAATTTTTTGACAAAAATCCAGTATCTATTCTTGATTTAAAAAAATTCTCAGAAAAGAAGAAATGGAGTATAACTTCCTCAATTTTATGAACAATATATACAAAAACCTACAGCTAACATGACATGTAATGGATAGAAACTAGATACCTTCCACCTAAGATCAGGAACAAGGCAAAGGAGTCCCTTCTCACCACTCCTATGCAACTGGATGTCCGAGGTAAGACAAGAAAAGGGAATGAATGGCATACAGATTGGAAGGGAAGAAATAAAACAGTCTGTGTTTGCTGATGATATGACTGCCCTTGCAGAAATTTTTTTAAATCAATAACAACAACAAAAAGCTCCTGGAGCTAAGTAGTGATTATAGCAAGATTGCAGGGTGCAAAGTTAATATACAAAAATCAATTGTTTTTCTATACAACAAAAAAGTAGAAATTGAAATTAAAAATACAATACCATTTACATTAGCACTCAATAAATGAAATATTTAGGTGTTAAGTCTAACAAAATACGTACAAGAACTATATGAGGAAAACTGGTGAAAAAAACAAAGAATGTGTAAATACCCCATCATCAAAAACTGATCGGGGGAAAAAAAACCACACGATCATCTAAATTGATGCAGGAAAATATTTGGCAATATTCATCATTTTCATGATAAAAACACTCAACATAGTAGGAATAGAAGGAAACTATTTCCATATAACAAAAGCCACATATAAAAAACCCACAACAATGGTCACACACAATGGCAAAAAGAGTGAAAACTTTTTCTCTAAGTTCAGGAACAAGGCAAGGATGCCCACCCTCAACACTGTTATTCAACACAGTATTGGAAGTTCTAGACAAGAATAAAAAATAAAAGGTATGCAAATCAGAAGGAAGAAGGAAAATTGTCTCTGTTTGCAAATAGTATGATCTTATGTACAGAAAATCCTAAAGACTACAACAATGAACTGTGAGCACTAATAAACAAATTCAGTAAACTTGCAGGATATAAAATCAAGATACAGAAACCAGTTATATTTCTATACAACTGAAAAAATAAAGAAAACAACCCCCTTTACAACAGTATCAAAAACAATAAAATACTTGGGAATAAATTTAACACAGGAGATGGAAGATCTGTACTCTGAAAACTGTAAGACTGGTGAAAGAGCTTGAAGACATAAACAAATGGATACATATTCCATATTAATGGATTAGAAGAATTAACATTGTTGAAATGTCCACATGACCCAAGGCCATGTGTACATCCAATCCTTTCCCTATCAAAATTCCAATGGCATTTTTCACAGAAAAAGAAACAAACATTCCTAAAATTTGTGTGAAGCCACAGACCACAAGCAACTAATGCAATCTTGAGAAAGGAGAACAAAGCTGGAGGCATCATACTTCCTGATTTTAAACTTTATTACAAAGCTACAGTGATCAAAACTGTATGGCAGTGACATAGAAAGATACCTAGATGGAACAGAATAGAGCTCAGAAATAAACCCACAAATACAGTCAATTAATATTTGACAAAGGAGCTAAGAATACTCAATGGGAAAAGAATAAACGGTGCTGGGAAAACTGGGCAATCACATGCAGAAGAATAAAGTTGGACCCTTCTCTTATACCACTCACAAAAATAAACTACCAATGGATTACAGACTTAAACAGAAGACCTGAAACTATAAAACTCCTAGAAGAAAATATAGGGATAAATAGTATTCACATAATCTTGGGAATAATTTATTATTAATATGACACCAAAAGCAAAAACAACAAAAGCAAAGATAAAAGTGTAGGACATCAAACTAAGACTTCCTTCACAGTAAAAGAAACACTGAACAAAATGAAGAGAACCTATGGAATGGGAGAAATGTTTGGAAAGAATCTATCTCATAAGGTTAATATCCAAAATACATAAGGAATTCACACAACTCAGTAGCAAGGAAAAAAACAAACAAACAAATGCAAACAATCCAATTAAAAAATAGGCAAAGGACCTACATATTGTTTTCCAAGGAAGATAAATGACTGACAGGTATATGAAAAGATGCTCAACAACAGTAACCATCAGTGATGTTTAACTTAAAGCCACAATGAGATAGCCCTTCGTACCTGTTAAAAGTGGCCATCATCGAAAAGACAAAAGTGGAAAAAAGGGAACACTTGTGCACGTTGGGAGAATGCACACTGGTGCAGCCACTATGGAAAATAGTATGTATGTTTCTCAAAAAATTAAAATAGCACTACCATATGATCTAGCAATCCCACTTTGGGTATAAAACCAAAGGAAATGAAATCAAAGAGGTACCTGCACTCAAAAATTAACTGAAGCTTTATTCACAGTAGCCAAGATATGGAAACAACCTGAAAGTCCATCAACAGATGAATGGATAATAGAAATACATATATAGGAATATTATTCAGTCTTGGGAATGAAGGAAATTTCATTTGCAATGACACGGGTAGAATAGGAATATTATTCAGTCTTGGGAATGAAGGAAATTTCATTTGCAATGACACGGGTAGAACTTGAAGGCATTATGCTAAGTGAAGTGGGACGAAACACTCTATGATCACACTTACATGGGGAATGTAAAAAAAGCTCAACTCATAGAAACAGAGCAGAATGGTGGTTGCTAGGGGTTGGAGGGTTGGAGAAATGGGGTGATGTTGTCAAGGGATACAAACTTCCATTTACAGGATGAATAATCCCTGGGGATAACCATATAGCACTGTGACTATCATTAACTATATTCTTTTATATGCTTGAAAGTGTCTAAGAGAATAGCTCTTAAAGGGTCTAACCACACACAAAAAGAATTATGTGAAATGACAGAGGTGCTAATTAACCCTATTGTGGTTTCACAATACTTGCACGTATACACATTGTATATCTTAAACTTACACAATGTTGTATGTCGATTATATTTCAATAGAAATGGAAAAAAGCCAGCAGCCCACTTCTGAAGCAGCATTTAGCAAGCTTAAAGAAGTCCAGAGTTAAGCTCTCTCCATTGAACACTTGAGTTGCTGGCTGGGCCATTTGTTTTTAAACTATGGCCAGGATTTAATTACGGAGGTAACAGAATGATGGCACATGTGCCAATGCCAGTGAAAGCAGAAATTACTTACATATCTCAAAAGAAAAGGGCATACCACAGCATGAGGGGCCACAGGGGAAGGACCAGGTTTGGTAAGCGGCCAGATGGACCAACAGGCAGAAAGTAGATGCCAGATTCTTTTGGGCAGGAAAGGCAAGGCAGTTAAGGATTATCTACTTTGAATAATTCAAATGTGTTTTAGGCTACAGGGTTGGTCTCTAGTTGCTTGCTACCTGCCCTAGGATGATTTAGGTCAGGGGGAACCTGGGCTAACTGTGCGATTAGATAAAGGGGGTAGCTGGGGCAGTAGACTCTGGATTTGTTGGATTGCATATGAAAGATGAGATCCCAGTGAGCCCTTTCCTAGCTCTTGACAAGTGGCTAGTCCTAGAAGTGACAATCTTTCCGAAGCCACACAAGCTTAACACGTCAAAACAGGAAAAATAAATACACGATTAATATACTACTACTGCACTGCACGTCATCTGCCCACCAGGACCTCCCAACCTGGTACCCAGGTGCCAGGACCACACAAGTGCAGAAGGGGCACTCACTTGCCTAAGGCACAGACCTCCCCCAACCCAGAACTTCCAACATCTATGAGGATTCCTTGCCCTAAAACGGACCAGCCTGAGGACGAGCCACGCGATGACAGGATGACCAGGGTCTGGGCACACACAAGGGCCCCCAGCCCTGATGTCTCACTCACAATTCACCTAGAGTCTTCCACACACTCACATGGTTCACACACACCAGTGCTCTGCTGGCAGAGGCTTAAGAAACAGCTCTCAGGGGCAGTCCGTAAAGACGTCGCGTGTGGTGTGTACTTGGTACAAATATTCCCAGCATGGGTGACTTCTGGCGCCCCATCGGACAGCGCTGGGCGGAGCCTGGAATTGCTGTGCAGCACCCACTATCCCATGCCAGTAGGAGCCGCTTCCAGGGTGCCCCACCGCCTCCATACCAGTATGTGACACAATCCACCTACACCCTGGCTAGGACCCCCAACTCCTAGCCCACATGCATGCACGAAAGGGAACAGACGTGCCTTCCTACCCTCAATTCCTAGACAACCAGTTCTTTCCACAAACCTTTAGGGACAAACCCTGAACGTTCACATCCACACCTACAGTTGCCTGAAGCCACAGAGCGCCAGGTACGCCGCCCATCACACCCGACACCCCCGGACTCCTGCACGCGCAGGCTCTCTGCACCACCAGTGCACAGCCGGCTCTGCGCCACAAACACACACACACCCACACACGTGCCACTGCCCAGCCACAAGCTGCACCCCACGATTCCTCCTCACGCCTCCTGCGAACCGCTGTCACAGACACCGGCGGGACTCCCCTCATCACGACACCCTGTGTGACATCCTACCTCGCCCGCAACTAGTCTGTCCTCGCCGTTCCCACGGGACCGATACCGTCAGGCCGGGAGCAGTGGACGCGCCCTCGCAGGACCAGGCGCTGCGGTCACCGGGCAGGCGCGGGCTGGCGCGTGAGGGGACTGCGGGAGGCAACCCCGGGCCGCCGTAGCTCCCCGCCAAGTACCCGTGAGGTGCTGCCGCCGGGCGAGCGCCCGCGCGTCCCCGCTGCCAAGCAGCCGCCTCGCCCCCTCCGGCGGCTAGGACCCAGCGGCTACGTCCCCTTACCCTTCAGGCAGAGCAGCCGCACGCAGGTCCCGCTCTAACCGCACGGCCGTTGGCCCCGCCCCGCGCGCTTGTGCGCAGCCCCAGCGGTCCGCCGCAGGGCACTCTGGGAGCCGCTGAAGCAGCCGGTCCGCGCGCCCGAAGCCCGCTCTCTGGGCGTGCGGCGCGCGTGCACGCGGTGCAGGAGGCGAAGCGGGAATCCGCGGCCGGAAGGACTGGGCTTCAGGGTCCCGGGGCCGCGGAGCTGCGCCTGCTTTCCGCCGCCGGTGTACTGTGCACCCCCAGCCCGCACCCAGCGTTCGGCCGCGCACGCCCCGCGGGGTGGGTGCCTCGCAGCCGTCCTGTCCCACAGGCCACCGGAGCTGCGAGCGGGCTGTCTCCCTAGGTTCGCGCCGCGCCCCCGCGTTCAGCTGCGGCCTTCTCAGCGGAGGGCCTGAAGGCTCCCTACGGGAACACTCCTGGCTCAGAGCACTAGACCCACCGGGGAAACACGCGGGGTTTTCCCGCGGCCCGCCCGGGGTTCTTCCACGGCCTTGCTGAGCGCATGCAGGTTTCTCCGTGAGCACGCCTCCCGGTGGAGGGTGGCGCGCACACCCTCCTCTGAGCATGGTGGTCTGACTGGGGTGCACAAAACCCAAGTCCTGGGAGATGTCTGCAAGTTGTTTACCTTTTCAATCCCCAACAGGAGTTCTGTTTAATAAAGTTCACTGTGACTTGTTGCAAGGCTGTCACCTCATCGTCTCTGTTTTTGAGTCAGTTTTATCTTAAAAGGGGCAGGAAGCATGTCAGGCGCCAGCAGGAGTCTGTAACAGAGCTGGAGTCCTTTTAAACAGCTCTTCTTCCCCGACCCCCTACCGTCAGTAGGAACTCTGGTGCTGGCACAGCAGCAGTGATGCATGTCTCCCAAGAGATTTAATCTCAACCCTCTGAAGGTCCCTCCCCCCATCTTCCTTGAGGAAATTCCTAAAAATCCTCTCTTTTCACAACTCACAACACAAATAGTCTTTCATATCGTTTTGATTAAGATAGACGGATGTCATTATGCCATATGAAAATGAGAATCAAAATAAATGTTTTGAGGGATGCTACACCATGACACCCACGGAGAAGAAATGCAATGCAATGATGAGCCTGGATTCCAGAAATTAGGGTATGTGATGCAGACAGGAAATCTCTCAGCTAACGAGCTAGATAAACACCCTGTGTTTATCGCAGTACTATTTACAATATCCAAGAAATGGAAGCAACCTAAGTGTCCATCAGTGGATGAATGGATAAAGAAGATGTGGTACATAGACACAATGGAATACTATTCAGCCATAAGAAAGAAACAAATCCTACCATTTGCAACAACATGGATGGAGCTAGAGGGTATTGTGCTCAGTGAAATAAGTCAGGCAGAGGAAGACAAATACCAAACGATTTCCCTCATTTTGGAGTATAACAATGAAGCAAAACTGAAGGAACAAAATAGCAGCAGACGCACAGAACCCAAGAATGGACTAACAGTTACCAAAGGGAAAGGGAGGGTGGTGGGACCGGAGGGATAAGAGGATTAATGAGCACTATGATTAGCACACATAATACAGGGGGCCACAGGGATGGAAGTATAGCACAGAGAAGTAGTGACTCTATAGCATCTTACTATGCTGATGGACAGTGACTGTATGGGGTATGTGGTGGGGACTTGATAATAGGGGGAATGTAGTACCACAATGTTGCTCATGTGAAATCTGAGCATAAGATTGTATATCAGTGTTACGTTAATAAATATTTTAAAAAGTGGAAGAGGAAGATCTGTATGTAGATGAAGCACCAAATAATGTCAATGAACAGTAAATTTTGCTAATAGAGTCACTGGCATTTCTAAGCACTGTTTTTATCCTTTTTTCAGTAGGTCATGTTATCCAAGATAAAGTTTAAAAAAGAGTCGAAATCATTGTGGATACTACATGAAGAGTTAATCTCTAATTTGAGTTATCTCTAGCCATTTAAGTAACCAAAGTAAGTCATAACTCACTAGAAAATTTATGTTTTCCAAAACCTCACTTAATCTGGGAAACTTTAGCATTTCAATACTATATTCAAAGAATATCTGTCTCAATTCACATTGCATAAAATGTAAAGTTTGCATTAAAATTATTTCATTTGCAAACAAGGGACAGAGTTTGTCCTGCATAAAATCCATTTTTAACTGTATGTCTTGCCTAACTCTGCCAAGACACTAACATCCTGACCACACAGAATTTTTTATAATGAATGCTGACGAGCCAATGAGCCCATCTGGTATATAAGGGAAAAAATAAATAAAATAAAATGATGCCTCAGTAATAGATATAGAATGAATAAGCATCTATTTGGTTAAGAACTCAGGTATCTCTAAAAACATGTCAAAATTGGCCCTCACAAATTAATGCTAACCTCATTTCAATTACCTGAAATTCAGTGAAAGTTGCTGTTTGTATGCCAAGACTGTGTCCTCATAGTAATGTTATGAATATACAGTTTTGTTCTACATCTGGACACAATGCATCTGCAATGTTTAAGGGCAACTTTTTGTTCTTTCATAAGGCATTTAAATAATGAATGAGGTATATATCATTCACGTGATTTGTTTGCTTATTTCAATAGTATGCCAGAAAGCTTATGAACACAGAGAACCTAGAAGGAGATTTAAAAACAGGTGTCAAGAGGAAAGGGGATCTTGGTGTTGTATATTAAGTGTCTGTATGATATCATGATGCTGGGCATATAAAAAGTGGTTATTTGAGCTCACTCTCATATTTCAAGGTCACTCCCAGGAAGGTCACCCTACTGTAACTGAAAAATATGAAATGTGTTATATATTGTGTGTATATGTTTGCATTGACCATTGAAGGAAGAAGTGAAATGGGTTACAGTATAGTAATGTGAGGAGTCACAAAGTATAAATTTAAAGCAAACAATTTTTCTGGTCTACGTATATGTCACTACGGTAATACCAGTATTGACCGTGGTTCCTCAGCAAAGGGTGAGGTGTTTCTGTGCCTTAAATTATTCTATAATTATAACAAGAGAAATTTTCAAAGGTGGAGTAAAAGTTTGCTCATGGGATGAGAAAATATCAATATGAGATATTTTTGTGTATTAAATTATAATTATATCAATCAATCAATCCATGTATAGATAGGTAAATATGATTATAGATATATATCTATGAAATTTCTGTTTTAAAAATTATGTTTTTATATTAAAATTTCCCCTGGACTGAAACTTGGCTGGCAGGCTTTCAGTATAGATGGGAAGAGCATTTTTAAGTCATACGTAAAAAATGAAACATTTATTAGAAATGACTTCAAAATAAAAGATGTTTGTAATTTTAGGCTGTTTTTTTCTGATTCATTTTGAGGGTGATTCAACATCTCAACATCTTGGCTTTTAATTCAGAATGTGGTTTCTCTGTAGGCAAATTTGAATGGAGTGTGGGACAATTATTCAGGTAATGAAGATAAATAAACTTGTTCTAAATGAAAGTGGTTTTATTGGTTCAAATTTTCCAGAGTGGATACATAAATTAATTGAATTAGCTAGAAAACTGCTCAACACTTCACTTGCATGTGTGGATACAAGCTGAATAATATCATAATAAAGGTATTTAAATGAAACACCTCACAAATATGTGTGCTAAGAAACTTGGGGAGTGAAATTGCACAATAGCATCTTAATTGAGTGAGTCAAGTGAAAATAAAAGTATATATGTTTGTGATTTTAATAAATCTTGTTCATTACAAATGAAATTTACCAACTTTTCACTTTACTTTAACTCAAAATATAACAAAATGAATACACCCAAGTAATGATGAAATTAAGATGCTTTTAACACTACAGAATATTGCAAACCTAACAGCCTCCATCCAGATAATAAACCTTTGTTCTATATAAATTAAGAATATATTTTTTGCGACTCTGATGGCATTTTCTCATGCCAACATTTTAAAGGGAAGACTCAGCCATTTTTTCCAGTCAACTCTCTTTCTCCTCAAGCTGCAGACCCATATTGCCAACTCTTCTTAAATTTTAGGGTATACAAAGGAAAAGAGAGCAATGTGCTGTGTTTGAGTCCCTCCTCTGTTATTTGCATGTGAAATTAAAGAAGACCTCATTTATTTTACTTGTGAATTTTGAATGAGTGGAGAAGTAGTTTGAAACTGTATCATTCTTTTAAAATGATGTTTTTAAAAAAACAATAGTAAACATTTTAGAGAAAACAGAGCAAATCACATTTGGAAATACTGCTCAAGAAATTTGAAAAGATATTATGTACTTAATTTTTTATTGTTTTATATTCAAAAACACTCGTGTTGAAGAGTATAGAAATTCAACATATATAAATAATTTTGGAAACATACAACCATTTATAAAATATATAGTCATATAAGATCAATGAATAATAGTAACTAGTTGTTTAGTTTGTTTTTCCCTGTAAATAAATAAGGAATTCTGCCATGTTGGAAGGAATACAAATAATAAGGAATGAAAAGAAGAAATCAGAAATATAATTCCATGATAATCAACAATAAGAGTTTGATTCAACAAATTATTATTAAGCATGTATTGTACTGAGAGTGCCAATTGTATCCTATACATTTATAAAGAAACCCTGAGGAAAAATCATATATTTGAATAAAACTAAGGTTCCCTTTCAGGACTTCAGAGTTATCAAATCCTTTGCATCCTTCTATTATGCCCCTTGATTCATCCTCATTATTATCCACAGGTGTCCTCAGTCAGTATAGGTTCAGTTTACATGACTCTGGTATCTTTGGGTATGAATAAAGCACAGATCTATGAGACTACTAAATAAAATGTCATAGTGTGCATTGCACTGAGACAAGATGTATAATCTTGAGGATATAAATAAAGCAAAAAGAATAAAAGTAAAGGAGTAGTTAGGAGTGATAAGTCATTGCCTGGTGCCCAAAAGGGCCTTAATGTTCCCCTCAGCCTTATTGAACTTGAAACAGTTCCCTTCCTGACTATAGGCCGCTGATCTCCCTTCATTAGAACATTTACTTTAGAAAATCTGCTATTGTAAATTCTTTCCTTGACCCTTTGAGTTGTATATCTTCTGCAAGCCAGGAATGTATTTCTCAAGGACCTGGAAGCCATCCCTTTGAAAGGGAATCATCAGGAAAGATGGCTCCCTGTCTCCCGTTCTCTCTGGGAGGGTACGTGCCTAAAGTGGATAAGCACCAAAGAACAAACACAGATAGCCTGATCCTATCTCCCCAACCTCTCCTGTCATCCTCTAGCACTATCCCACAGAGCACCCAAAGGCTCCTGCCTTTTGTTTCAGAGGAGTTGAGCTCAATCTTTCCCTTCTCTTGCAAGTCTTGAATAAAGTCTGTGTTGCCTGTTTAAGTGGTCTGCTGTAATTTTCTTTAATGTTGGGTGAAGATTGCTATAAAAACAACCACATCCTCTTCTGTCTCTCTGTCAATTAAAAAAAAATCAAAATCAGTTAAATAAAACTGAGGAGATAGAGAAAATACAGGCAATATTATTGAATCTCACCAAATTATTTTTATTTGCTTTGTGAAGAGTTGTGGAGACTGGGAAGAGAGCCTATGTGAAGAGAGGAAAATATTCCTAACTGTCCTTGAAAGATAATACAGGTCTTGGCTAAGTGGTGAAGCCAAGAATGGGAATGGAATGAGCAGAACCATGGAAAACAATGTAGAAATGGTGAGGATTCCAGTTTGGTGCAGACTTCATACAGAGACTGATGGCAGGTAAGGCTGAGAAAGTGGGCTGGAGCAGAGGGTGGCA